GGGCATTTCGCATGCGCATGCGTGAATCCGCTGAACGACAATAGCGTGGGCGCATCAAATCTGATGGCGAGAAATAGAAAACTCGCACGTAAAGTTACAGTCCTTTTAAAAGCGATTTCGTTGGTGCTTTGAATACCGTACTTTCGTACAAAAAATATTCTCCATGACAAAAATCGGACGTTTTCTACGCGGATTTTCACTTGTAGATTTTTCAGCAGTAGGTTTTATTGGCCTTTAAAGGCTTTTTAGACTCAACGCCAAAAAGTCATGTTCCTGTATAAGTGTGATTTTCACTGGCAAAGCAATGCATTTTTATGGTTTGATTTCCAAACTCGTGGTTTTACTTATTAAGGAGGAAATGCATCGTAGCAATGTTCAGCTGCTTTAAGACAAAAAGCAAAAAAAAATTTACCACGCGCGGTTTATTTATTAACGCGATGTCTCATGTTAAACTGATCGCGGAGACACGCGTTTTTATATGCCACAAAAACATTAAATCTAAGGTTTTTTTACAGTTTTTCGAAAGTTTTCGCGGAAAAATTTATAAAAAAATATTCTATAGGAAATGAAGAATGGATTGAGTTTTAGACAGCAACAATTACAAGTGATTGTGTAGTACATAATCACTTAAGCATTTCATAAGATCAGTTGCAGACAAAACGAATGCACATACTCCGAAAAAAACGAACAGTACTTTTATTTTTCTTTAACTCTAAAAGATACTGAACAGAGATTTTTCCTAAGCTACTATTTTGAAGCGACTCTTGACTAACAGCCCCTGTAACAGCCCCTGTGTTCCACAATCGATTTCTTGTTATTAATTTATATTTGATGACAGTAGTGATCCATTCAAAACAGAGAATGCCCATCAATCCATAAATCTAACTGACGATGTTGTTCACCTTAAAAGCCCGTTTAAACATAAGACAGGAAGTTTTTTAAAGGGGTGCATATAATGCTGTTTCCTCAAAAAATAAATACTTCTGCTAAAGGACCCAAATGAGCTTGAACGCGACAACAAACATGACACAAATGGATGGATGAATTTGTCTGTTATTAATGTTTCTGTTGAGAGCTTTTTACTGTATCAAGATGAACCCCTTATGTAAGTTGTAAATGGAAGGATTATCAAGCAGAAACTGATGCATTAAACAAGAATGTGGTTCAATACAGAGGAGAAGCTGGTCTAAGTCAACATCCTTCGTAAATGAAATATCTGACAAATTAGCATATCAACAAATGTAGTATCCACAAAATGGTATCATTTAATATAAGTGCTGTATTAAGTAAAACGGAGAAAACATAAGTTCAGTCCTTCACTTTTTAAAATTAACTGAAAAACAGAACAATAAGGAAAAATGCATTTTTAATACGATGATGAATTAATTTCTTAAATAAATAAAAATATTAACCAAAAAACTAGAAAAAAAAGATCGTAAAATGATCATGAAAAAAAGATACAAAATATATAAAAATTCAACTTTCTATTAACTAACAAAGCGCTCTATAGTACAAGAATCGTACCCTTAAAATGCTGTATTCAGTACAATGACAATATTACAAAGCAATAATTTCCGCCTTCAACTAACGTCTGGGCCAAACGTCGAGCTTTTCATGCGACGAACCAAACTTAGTGAAATAATTTCATAAAAAGTTCGACGTCTGGCTCAGTTAAAATCGTCTGGATCTGAAGGAGTTTGGATCGTCCGACACGTTCTATCCGTCCGCTTCAGACGGATAGAAAGTCTGAAGATCTTCTTAAGGACAAATATCGATCTTCACATGCAACAAACTTAACTAAAAAAATATAAATTGTATATTTAGCCTCGTTAACGAGAAAATTTTAAAAAAATCGCTTTTTGGTCTGATTCAGTCGATTGGTTCGACGCGTCGCAAGTTAGAAGTCTGACCCAATAGACGATCTTAACTTAATTTAGGTCGACCCAAATTAGAGTTGGTTCGTCTTATGAAAAGCTCGACGTTTGGACTAGGCCTAATCGTAATATAATCCAAAAGACATAAGACAATGATGCGTGTAAAGTACAATTTAGTACATATTTTGATTTAAAAGCATACAGCCCACAGTTATTACTAATGTACATTTTCTTAAAAATACAAGGGAAGAAGAACAAAAATTTCTCTTCTTATTGACTACCGGCAGAGTAAGCAATTTGATTTCTCCTTTTTGTTTTGATCTGTTTTGTTTTTTCTTTTGTAAAATGACGATTCCAAATTGCTATTTTATAACTAAATTCGAACATAAGTTTCGAACCGAGCATAAAGTCTAAATTTTAACGATCTTTAACCTATACTAACAGGTGACGTGATCTCATTGCAAATACCCATACACAGCTTCTCTAAGTTATACTGCCGATCAGATCTGAATAGACACCATAGTCTTCTACTGACTACATAAAAAAACAATTTTCACAATCATTTCTTGAGCTTCGTTTAAATAGAGAAAACCTGTCCCTGTAGAAGGGCCACCCTCAGCCCAGCCGAGTTAACTTTAGCAAGAGTCTATATGAGAAAAAAGTTGACTCCTTTATTCGAGTCAACAGCACTCGCGCATGCTCTGATTGTCTCACCTTGACGGAGTTGACCCCGCCCAAAGTGTTTGTAAGGAGAAAAGTTGGCCCGGCTGGGAAAGTGACCCTGCAATCATAAAGGGAGAACCCGGGTGGGCGGGTCACCCTTCTAGACGAGCCAACATTTTGTTTCCTATGTTAACAGTTCGCTACCTTTTGTAAGGAAACGTATAAAAAATTGGCTTGCACGGCGCTGCTCGGCTACTCTTCCACCCGGAACAACTGAACAAACGATTATCACTACAATGATGTCTAAAACAACAAATTTGGTTTTATCAGCTGAGTTCATGAAGTAAATTAGCCACGGCAAAGAGCCTTCAGGAAAAAGAGCAAGCCGCTCGTCAGATATGACATGACCTGACAGATCCGCTGTTCGGTCAACAAAACTGTCGGTCGGCCTCACAATGAAACGACTGTACCATCGGAGGGAGTAAATCGATTACCAGTCAAACGATTAATCTTTGAATTGATCGCCTTCAATTAGTTCAGGAGTACGAACATAGGGCACAACAACCAATCGCATCTGAAAAAAAAAGTCAATAATTCTGCATAACTGGCGAGACAGAGTTCGGGTTCAGGGAAGATTAACTTTACCTACCAGCCGACTCCTCAACGCGCATGCTCCTAGCCTGCATAACAGGCGCTTTGTTAGCCAAGCGAGGCAATTGCCCCATTTTGCGCGAAGCACGAGACCAGGGGAGGAGAAAAAAGAGCGCCTGTTACCAGTCCATTGTTCTGGCTCTTCCCACGTTCACTACATGAACGTTGCGTTCCAATTGGTTAATTGGTGACGCGTTGTTCTGTTGAGATTCTGGCATGTTTGTCTGGAACAAAGTCCTGTTCTTTTAAAGATGCTGTTCGAGAATCCTTTCGTTTATTTCCAAATGTTCCAGAAATAAAAGAAAAACAAAAGAAATGTTTAAATTTATTGTTTAAGAGGAAAGATGTTCTTGGATTGCTTCCAACTAGGTTAGGAAAAAGCCTGATTTTAATAATGACTAACTTTCTTAAATTAAGTGTTGACAGGCCAGACACGACTCATGAGCTCGTGACCCTGGAACTTGTTTGAACAACACTTTTTCCCTCTTTTCTTTCTCACCGCTGGTTTGGGAACAGAAACAGTCTTGAAACTATCGACTACGGCGTGAAAAACGGACACGAATGGGACCCTGCAGTTCCCCTTCTCTGATTCCAATGGAGGGAACTCCAATGTTTCCGGAGCTGGTTCAACAAGAGTAATTACCCAGAGACCCGTCCGTTCTTAAAATACACTTCGCCCATGAATATATTATCTCCTCGATTATTTACCGCTGGTTCTACGAAGTAGTCGAATGAACCAAACCATGCGCTTAAGTTACCTGAAAATATTACCTTACTGACAGATTTCGCGACAGCCTTTCCTTTAGCCACTAACAGAACAATCGTTCTCTTTTTGAACATGGGATTTGCAAGCTTAGATAGCGCAAGAAAAGGCCAGTGAGCTGGAGGAGGAAAAGGGGGTGGGTGTTTTAAGGGGTTTTTAATGCGGGTTCCTTTCCCCACCCCACTACCTGAACCGGTTCAATCCCACAGTGTTAAAACATTCTTAGCTCCCAAAGTCTGGCCTTAATTTTCCAACAGAGCTGTTATGGATGGTTACTTGACGTTCCCAGCGTTTCAAGTCTTACATCACACAAGTCAGAATATTTTTCGAGGCTGTTATCACTTTAAACTTCAGAGGGTAGCTCTTGACATCGTAGAGACCAATAAGATGTTTACAGAAGCTGCTGAATCGTGCGAAGGTAAAGACTAACTATCAACTAGTTAGTGGTTTAAGCGCAAATTGTTAGTGCACAGTTTTAGTTAATACACATTAATTAATATTATATTATATATGTTGTAACTTTTAAAATTAGTTAGGATCGGAGATACTAGCTATGTAAGCTACACTAAAACCCGAGGATAAATAAAGTTTATGTATGTATGTATGTAACTAATGAGGCTCACGTTCAGTAAGTAGCATGAAGGGACTTGAGAGTACTGCTACACCCCACCGGATAAGATGCTAGTTCATCACAGGGTTACCTCCAGCAGAATGTCGCTGCCAGTACTTATTTATACCCCTAGGAGAAGATGGGAATAGTGGGGCAAGGTTCCTTTTTTGAGAAAACAACGCAATGGCGAGGCTTGGGCTAGGACCTGCAGATCTTAAGTCCGACGTATTAATCTCTCCACCATCCATGCCTCCACAGTTCTTGCCCAAAGAAGAGGGAAAATTGCCTTTTTCCTGCATTTACTGACTCAAAGTGTTGCAGTGGCTGAGGAAGCTGGTACAGTTGTTGGGAAGCCGCAAATTACATTTCGACAATAGCAACTCACGAATGCCAAGGCTACTCAGTTTCGTCAGGGGTATCTTCAACGAAACTTCGCCATGCCTGATCGAACTTTCTTGTGCTTTTCTTGTGTTCGCTACCATTAGCTCGTCGCTAGTTTGTCACGTTCCAAGCATTCTCACACCAAAAATCGTAAAGCCGCCAAAGTGACAATCTCCCATCCTCTAAGTTGTTTGAAATAGCAAACCGTGGAGAAATCTATACCAGTCGGCTGCAACTAAACTGAGACCGGTCATTCCCGAAGAGGCAACAGTGGGAACACAGTGTAAGTTGTCGGCGCTCTTTCAACAACTAAATGCATACGTGGGTGAAGAAAGTCGCTTGTCTCACCTAGCGCTCCTACGAATTCACGATACTGGTCATGAAGACCATGACAACGCATTTTACAGTTAATCTAGCGGTTTCATCCACGTAGACGTCGAGTTGAAATGATATAATACTCCAGCGGATAGCGCTACCCCTCAGAAAAATACGTGCTAGTTTTAAACCTCAATGGTCATAATTGTTTGATTTCACTTTTCAAAGGAAAATGTCACGGTAATGCCACAACTCAGACCTTAGCAGTCCAGTGAAAGAGATTTATTTAAATACAGATATATACGAGAAATTCCATGAATAGAACTTAATATATACATGTCGGAGATAAGATCTGTTCTCAGGCCAAACTGCAGTATTCAACCAAATAGAGTCATATTTTTGCTAGGGTTTCGTAAACCTGGCAACCTAAGTTGAATTAACTCGTGAAAGAATTTTCTCGGTCGCATAGCTTTTTCAGAACAAACACAGCATTGTCCACTGCAATGTTACAAACAGATTCCCTCTTAATACTGCCAACACGACATCCACAAAACTCGTTCCATTCCAAAAAAGAAGAAGGAAGGTGAGCGATATAATAATCACCTAACATTGACATCTCACAATCCCCGTTCCAAAAGTTGTACAAGAAAGATTTTCCCGTGTAAAAATCCCAAACCTGACTTCCAAATAAGTAAGGGTAAAACTCAAGAACACATTGACGAACAACGGTCAATGTTGCTGGTTCTTTGCCTGACTCGGTTAACTCAGTTAGCCTGCGACAACAGGAACAAGAAGGTTCGTAGGAATTAGGACACTCATTCGCCTTGAACAGCTTCAGGTCGACTCCAAGAAACTCCAGTAAGTCTGTGGTTGGTTTCCCTAGAGGTGCGTTGGTTTTAGATATTGCGTCTGATAACTGACTATAGGTACAAGTCGTGCCGATGATGTCGTCGTCAATTTCCAGTAAAGCCCACATAGCAAGTAAGTCTACTGTACAACCCTTTTGTTGACAAGGAAAGTAATCAAAGCCAGGGATATCGTAGGCAACAACACAAAAGTACTTGCTTGGTCCATCCTCCAAAAGATAACCTTCGTCATAGATAAGGGAGTTCCCTGAGAACACAGCTAAGTCAACCACGCATTCTTGCTCCAAGGAAAACCATTTGTCGAGTCGTCCAAAAAATATACATCTTTCGTTAGGGGAAAATTCTACACAAAATATGCCTTCAATTATACCCTCACTTATTGCAAAAGGACCTCGAGCAATTTCTAAAGTAGTTGTATGCGCCAAGAAAAGAGATTGATTTCCCAGAATCCCGACCACTTTCTTGTTATCAGAAGACAGGGCAAACTTCTTGCCGACGCAATCACTGAAGGTCTCCTTCAACAAGTGAGGAGTTGACCAGACGCTTTCTCGGACAAGGCTGGATACGTTGCGAATACAGAACAAGAGAAGGTTTTGACACTTTTGAAGAGAAGCGTCGTCACTAAGAACACCC